GTCGGCAGGTAGGCAGGTAGGTAGGTAGGTAGGTAGGTAGGTAGGTCGGCAGGTAGGTCGGTAGGTAGGTAGGCAGGAAGGAAGGTAGGGAGGTAGGTAGGTAGGGGTCGGTGGGTGGGTAGGTAGGTAGGCAGGCAGGCAGGCAGGCAGGTAGGTAGGTAGGTAGTTAGTAATGTGATTTGTTAGTAATTCGATTAGTTAGTTGGAGTAGTGGTTAGTGTTGTTGGTTGCTTGGTTACTTAGTTGGTTATTGGTTGGTTAGCTTGGGCTTCAGGGGTGTAATTAAAGTTTAGAGTTGAGGGCTTAGGCTTTAAGGTTTATATGGGGCTTTGGGGATGTGAAGGGCTGGTGGACTAGGACTGCTCTTTATGGTGAATTCGCGATTGTGGTGACGCGTTCTACTACGGTTTCATGCGTTGTCAAATCACTGCCATTATTGTTTCATGGTGTTTCTAATTTCGGAAGTGTCCGAAGCATACATCATAAAGCTTAGGTTTTTTGAAGCGCAGGCTGGGATAACCCCCAAAAGCCTGGATGAGGGGGTCCGCAGTTTTTCGCGGTTTGGGGTTTCGGGTTTAGGGAACCCCTGAACCCTAACAAGAGCTTGGCCTACTCATCATGAACAGGGAGAAGAAGGCCATGCTAGGTCACCCCAAGCAATGTTTCGAACACTCAGGTTGTACCTTGCTGCTTGCACCAGTGATGTAACTCATCAAGGACTCAACTATGAACATTTGCTCAAAAAGGGTATGAAGCCTAGAATGCCTAAACCTCCAAACCCTAAACCCCTAAACCCTAAACCCTAAATTAGGGTTTAGGGCCTAGAAGAACTCAAACCGCAGTTGGACATCTAGATGGCGCGACACTGATAACACCTCGGCCCGGGGGGGAGCTGTCCACTGTTCTCCAGAGGACGTGCTGTAGTGTCCTCGCTCTTCTTGCGGCCTGGCTGCCATTGATGTCGAGGCTCCTGGTTGAGGTGGGTGTGTTCGTGATCGGCCACTCATCAGGCAGGTCTTCACAGCAATTAAAAACAGGATTTATCTCGCCACATTTGCACCTGCACACCAAAATGGTTACCGCACATCAAGCTCGGGAGCAGCACCTGCAACGGTTGCTCAGGCGTGAAGAAGCCCGAAGCATGTCATTCCAAGATCTCCCAAGCACAGCGCGACTTACACCCACGAATGAGCGGAACCTCGCCCGTAAACGTCTTAACAGCTAGCACGTCTTAGGTCCATGCCCTAGCACCTGAGACACTAAACCCCTTAAGCCAAAAGCTCGTCCCCAGGCTTCTGATGATGGCCACGCTGGTCTCCCAGTTCGCCAAAGCCGGGTCGCTGCTCTCGGCCGTGACGGGGCTCCCGGAAGCGGGGCTTAGAGCTTCGGCTTACAACCATCTGCCAGGTTCAAGCTTTTCAGTTTTGGCTTTGTGGGGTTTAGGGTTTAGGGTTTCTGTAGCCCCTTATTAAATTTAGGGCATACTATATATAGTAGAGTACTACACTGTGTATGCAGAACTCCGAAACTCGACTCTAAGTGCTAAGTCTCCTATGTCGCTATATATGCCAGAGGTGAAATCAACGAAATCAAACTCTATTCTGGATGAAGTTGTGAAGGCCCTCCCATATTACAGGGATTTCTGTTGTTTACTAGGAGTTCTGTTTTTTTTTGGGGCGGCTATCCGGATGGGTTCTTAAGGTAAGAGGGATTTAGGCTGCGTGAAACTTCCAATTTTAGGTGCAGCGCTGGCCGCGGGACTGTCAGCCCTGACATGGAGAAGCTCTTCCAGTACCACCACCAGCGTGAACGGGTGGCTAACGTGCCCGGGCCAACATTGGTGGACCCCTTTTTGCGGTGTTCACAACCCTTTAATTACTCGCCAGGATGTTCAGCTCGACACCCAAGACTCCAGCCTAAAGCGCCTGAAGCCCTAAACATTTAAACCTACATGACTGAACCCGAACAAGCCTACTACCCTTTTAGGTTTTCCCTGAAGAGAGATGTAATGCTACTAGCCAGCAGTAACGGAGGCAGTCGTAAAATCAGTGACAAGTAGAAAGACCCTAATTACATAACAACAAAAGAAGTTCATAATGAACTTAGTAAAATGTAAAAAGGCTTCCAAAACTCCTACACCCTAAACCCTGACCCCTAAACCCCCAAAATGGCTAAACCCCTAAACCCTAAACCCCAAAAGGCTAGACCCCCAAACCGTAAACCCTAAAAGGCTAAACCCCTAAACCCGAAACCCTAAAAGCCTAGACCCCCAAACCCTAAACCCTACAAGGCTAGACCCCTAAACCCTAAAGGGCTACACCCCTAAACCCTAAACGTAAAGGGCTAAACCGGCCGAACCCCTAAACCATACAAGGCTAGGCTTCCCAAGCCCTAAACCCCCAAAATGGCTAAACCCCTAAACCCTAAACCCTACAAGGCTAGGCTTCGTCATCGCCTGCGTTGCGCTCTTTACTGTTGGCGTGCCACTCGCTGATTGGAGCCGCCTGAGTCGGGCCAGCTGGCGGGGGCCCCAGGGACTACTGGGGTTTAGGGTTTAGAGGGCTTAGGGTGTAGGGTTCAGGGAGGTTGAGGTTTCAGGTTTAGGGCTTAGGGTTTAGGGATTTGAGTTTAGGGTTTAGGGTTTAGGGTTCAGGGCCGTTGAGGTTTAAGGTTTAGGGCCTTTGAGGTCAGGGTGGCCCAGGAACCAAACGCTAATAGAAAGGGTCAATCAATGCTTTGGGGTTTTGGGGTTCGGGCCCCCCTTGTAGGGATTCGATTTCGACCTTGCAAAGCTGTCTGTTTAGGAGAAGCTTATTTCGGGTTTTGGAGTTCAGGGTATCAAGGGACTAAAGGAGAGACCCTTAAAGGAGCTTTTGTCCCTTTTGGGGGTCCCTCCTATTGTCCCTTAAGGGTAGCGGTTCAGGGTCCCCCGGGATGTACGGGATGTGGGCTTCCGGATGGCAGCTTGCAGGGCTCTGGAGTGTGATTTGAATTAGTGAGCTTGTCTCAAGGCTTTAGCTTAGGGCTTTAGGGCTTAGGGTTAAGAGTTCGAGGTAGTGCATGTCGGAGCAGGCAGTGTATGTGGGCACAACCTTCGTTGGAGGCCGTGCCAGCTTGTGGGTCTACTGGTGCCTTTGATCCCTAAAGCGTGCACTTCCTGAACCCTAAACCCTAAACCCTAAACCCTAACCTTTCCAACATCAAAGCTTCAGAAGCGCCAACCTCGAGCTCGCCATCTACAAAAAAGGGTCCACGTACCCAAAGAGTGTTCCTTTAAGGGTCTCTTTTAGGGTTCCTTTAAAGGGATCTATAAGGGTTCTATAGGGTTTAGGGCTTAAGGGTCCATGTACCCAAATAGTATATTACACTTTGGCCTTAGGGTAGTCCCTATATGGGTACTTTGGGGCCAAGGTATACACTATATGGGTACATGGACCCTTAGGGCCAACAAAGGTATCTGAAGGCCTGGAAGCAGGCCAAGCCGCAAATTCCTAAGCCAACATGACGAGTTTTTAGGGTTTACGGTGCCCAAACTCCGAGCAGAATTATTCCCGGCCACTTCACGCAACGTAATTCGTGATTCCATGTTCAAGTTTTCTAGAGTTCACAGCAGGTTTTGCGGGGTTGGGATGTTCTGCTGTTGGCTTGCTGCTGAAGCATCACATGGAGTTGCATAGAAGCCTAAAGCCAAAAAAATCCCCACGCCATAAACCCTTTATAATTTCTAAACCCCTATGAGTTTAGGCCTTATAAGTTTATAAGTCTAAACCCTCCAATCCCTGCACCTCTGAAAGCTTCGCGCCATGTTTGGACACCATCAGACATGACTACATCCCCTGCTCCCCGTAGAGAAAGGCTCCGAGATGCGGATTCGCCCTTAGCCTACCGGACACATCCGTCCGGGAACAATTGTTATATTATGCAAACTTAGCAACTGTTGAGACTGTCGTGGTGCAATAGCACCAGTGTTGGGAGCTGGCAAATATCACCTGCAGCAATGGACAAAGAAATGTGGCGTGGTTTTCATCGATAGATATCGACAATATTCGTGGCCCAAAGACACAGAACAATCACAGCACTGTGCAAGCGTAACAGACCAGTAAACCCTAGACCCGCATAAAACATTAGCCCAGGACCCTGAAGCTTAATCTCCAAGCCCATTCATGAGCGAGGCTGGCATGCCTTCCATCCTTGCGGCTTGAACCGAAGCTTAGTCACGGTTCTAGGAAATAGGATTTAGGTGGTTGGGGGGTTTTGGGTTTAGGGCTTCTGTAGGGTTTAGGCTTGAGGGTTTTTGCCCCTAAACCCCAAACCCTCTTGGGCTTGGAGGATTTGGGACTCGGGGGGTTTTAAGGGGTTCTTCGGGCTTGGGATGGTCGCCGGGTTCCCGATCAAACAGTCTGGCTGCCTAGATTCTGGTTGTTTCCCAGCTCTACACTCTCAACTCATGCCTGCAAGCGTGAATGCAGAAACTACGGTTGATGATATAAATCCTGCATTACCCATAACAAGGAATATACCATAATTCCCATAGTTTAGGGTCCTTAAGGTCATGCAAGATTTATATCATCAACACTAGTCATTGTCAAGCTGTACTCAGAAAGTGCCTTCCACACTCACGCAGGGCATGGGCTCCATTCGCTCCCTGTCGTGCCTTCTGTTCTGGCCATCCTGGCCTAGGACGAAACCGAGCAGCTCAAAAACCACGATCCCAGCTCAAAGGCCCTGATGCCGAACGTTTCTCTAGAGCTGAATGCGTGATGAGTCCGGATTTCATAGAACATACCTCCGAAGAAGTTTCGCTTTACCCATTTAGCCCCTCTGCCACAACCCTCACACTCAACTAAGTCCCACGATTTTACTAAGTCCCACGATTTTACTAAGTCCCACGATTTTGCAGCTCTTCGTGTACCTGGAAGTGATCCCGACTTTGGGCACGCTCCTGAAGATGGATGCACGGCGCATGAAGCGAGCTATTCTGATTGGCTCGGCCACCCGTCTCCCAACAAGCCTAAACCGTAAACCCTAAGCCCTTCATCCTCAGGCACGCGTGTCAGGATTTAGTGTGTCATATGGTTGGGGCTCGCTGGCTCAGGGTTTACGGTGGACAGCGATATCATACTATGTGTAGTTTCTAGCAGATTCTAGCATGGATACTGGAGTTGTTCATTGGCTGCGTCCTTTGCTACGACATGGGCCCCGTATTTCCGAAACCCCAGACTCATGATCGGGAAGAGGTCTTTCTTAACCCAAAGCCTGCAGAGCCTCCAAGACTCATCCCTCCTGAAAACCATGGAGCTCTAAACCTGAAAGCCATGGAGCCCTAGACCTGAAAGCCATGGAGCCCTAAACCTGAAGACCATGTGGCCCTAAACCTGAAAATAATAAAGCAACCCTCCTATGCCAAAGCCTAACACCACCAGGCCTCTACCCTGCATCTAAACAGCGTCTGGCCTGCATGGCTTCAGTGGTTAAGCCACGGTATGCTCTGAAAGCCAATAACGTGAGAATATGTACCACAATATAGAAACCTGATGAAGAAAGTGTATTTATGAGAGGTTCCTTATAATGGATCCTATTTTGGGGGGCTACAGGACCAGAGTTTCTTAATCAGGTTCCCACAATTCTACGACAAACCCTAATCCCTCAAGTCAATTTAAGATCCCTTACTAAACCCAAAAACCCTAAACTCCCTAAACCGTGTTCAAAACTCAAGGGTCTTGGGGGGTTTAGGGCTTTGGGGTTACAGCTCGTACTGTAGGGTTTTTTTGGGGGATCTTAGGGCCCGGGGGGTTAGGTTTGTCTGAAGCTTTTGGGACCTGTTTGGCCTGGGGATATTAGGGGTATTAGGGTTTAGGGGTTTGGGGTTTTGGGGGTATTAGGGTTTAGGGTAATAGGGTTTATGGGATTTGGGGTTTTAGGGGTTTAGGATTTTAGGGTTTAGAGGGTTTTAGGTAGTAGGGTTTAGAGGGTTTTAGGGTTAGGGGTTTAGGGGTTGAGGGCTTTAGGATTTTAGGGTTTAGGATTTATAGGGTTTTGGGGTTTTGGGTTTATGAATAGGGCTAGAGCTCCGTCCCCAAATTTCTGCAAGCAAGGTCCTGCTGTTGGTTTTGGAGCTTGCCTGGTCCGGGCTCGGCTTGGGTCTCGTGCCCTTTGTCCGCGGCTTGCGCGCTGACCCGGTGGATGTTCTTCTAGGACCTCGGGTTTAGGGTTTAGGATTTATTTAGGGTTGAGGGTTTAGGATATATTTAGGGTTTAGGGTTTAGGATTTATTTAGGGTTTTGGGTTTTGGATTTATTTAGGGTTTTGGGTTTAGGGCTTAGGTGGTTTTGGATTTCAGAGTTCGCGTTACTGGCTTCAGCATGGAGGGTCTACGCGTCCTGAAACCCCAAACCCTTGTAAACCGTACAACACCCCTAAGCCCTCGGCACTAGACCCGTTGAACCTTAAACCGTACTTTACAGAGACTTGGGGTTCGACTTGCGAATTTCAGGATTTCGTTCTTCCGACGTTGTGCTCAGTCGTGTCGTGCCTGTCATCACTCATGGCAGTTTGCAAACTCGCAAGAGCACGCCTTAGTAGTAGCTGAACGACTACACTCTAAACTTTTCGGGATAAGATGATCCCTTATAGAACTGAAAGTGTACACTTTTTTGTGCTTATGAGCTCCGCACGTAAGACACACATTGGTGGGGGGGGGGCCCTTTAGAGCTGTACCCTTCAGTTTGGAAGATTGCAGCCTCAAGAGCTCGGAACCCGAACCTGGCAAGCCTTTTCCCTAGGGCTCCAAGTATACAAATAGTACCTACTTTGGGGTCTAAAGTCTGTAAATAGTACCTACTTTGGGCTATTTGGAGCCCTAGGGTTTTCTTCTGAAACACAGACCTGAACACCTGAACTAGAAGCAACAATTATGAATGAAGATTCCTTCGGATTCCTGGGTTTTCCTTGGGATTCCTGGTTTCAAGTATACTGTTGACAGGAATACACTGCCGAAATGTCCTACTCCAAAAACCTGAAGCTTTTAAACCCTAAACCCCACAACCTAAACCTTAAGACCTGAAACACTAAACCCTAAACCCTAAACCCTGAAACCTAAGCCTAAACCCTAAAACCTAAACCTTAAAACCCGAAACACTAAACCCTAAACCTTAAAACCCGAAACACTAAACCCTAAACCCTAAAACCCAAACCTTAAAACCCTAAACCCTTATACTTATAAGCCCTAAAACCTAAACCTTCAAACCCTAAACCCTAAACCTGATTCTTCTGCAAGGCAGCTTGAAGGGTTTGGGATTCCGTGCTCGCAGAAAGGACAAGGCGGCCCTGTCTCTGCTGCCGTACTCCTCCTGGGCCCCTCGCATGCGCTGTCAGGGTTGAGGGGTGTCTTCAAGGGCTCCTTTAAGGCTTCTACAAAGGTTGTCGGGTTTTGGGTGGCTTTAGGAGTTCAGACCCTCCAGATCCTACCTCCCAATGATTTGAACTGCCACGGCGCTGAATAGTCTTGCATGTGGAGGGCATGGGAGTTGAGGCACACGGTTTCGGATGCTTAGGCTTCCAGGCCAGGGCCCAGCCCTTAGCCCTCCATGCCCTACACCTGCTCTTCGAGAGCTGTTTTTCCACCGAGCCGTCAAAGAACTTGCGTCAAAGCCTACATCAAATTTCGGTTGAGGACCTAGACTTACTAGAGACATCATACATCGCCGAGCGGATGCCTCAAAGTGAAGCCAAGGCTGCTGCGCGGTCAGCACGACAATTCTCGGCACGAACCTCGCCCTTCGATCCTTTTTCTGACCCTTCGGCGCGAATTCAGTTAAACCCCAAATACCCTAAACCCCCTAAACCCCAAATACCCTAAATCCTAAACCCTAATAGTTGGTTTGGGGTGGGTTTCAGGGTCGAGGCCTTCACGCGTTTCGGTGCAGGGCCTGGGGCTGTTGGCTGGAGGCCGCCCCCGAAGCCTCAACTTCGCACTTCACTGGTGGTTGGTCCGCGTGTGCCATCCAGAGGGTCCGAGTACCCAAATTGTAAGGTTTCAGGTCCCAAAATCCATACTCTGAGTGGTTTTTGGACCCTGAAACCCCACTATTTGGGTACTTGGACCAATAAGAAGCACAGTCTGGCGGGCTCAACGCACAGCGCACTGGCTTGTCACTACGAGGTAGGAGGGCGAGGGAGGAGGCAGAGGAGGAAGCTTGTTTTTTTGCTGCAGTCATAGATGCAAGGAATGTTGGTGTTGCTGTCATTTCGTGTTTCTGCCAAGCGCTTTTTGTGTCGAGTTTTATGCTATCAGCGGTTCTGCATTTGGGCAGTAGAGCCTTTTTGCAGCTTGTCGTTAGCATTCTTGTGATGCGCGTCTATGTGATATCTGCATGATTGCTGTTGCTTATACAAGGGGCAGGGCCGCGGCATATTCAAGTCTGGTCTTCGACGTATATGGCCTCGAACGAAGCACTGGAGTTTTGTGGTTTGGGCAGCGCTGGTTTTGGTTGGGTTTGAGGCGGTACGGCTCGTACGACGTCCGGTAATTGGGGCTTCGTGTCTGGTCAGCCGACTGAGTAACGAGGAGCAGCCACAGCTAGAAGTCTTCTCTACGCCCATTGGAGGTACATATGGGAGTTTCCGAAAATAAGGGGTACCCTATATTGGGGCCCTTATAATAAGGATCCTACTATTTAGGGTACTGTATTAGGGTCCCCTATTTGCAATCCCCCATATAACTTCACTTGAAACTAAAGTGAATCCTCCATTCAGGTTCGAAGCTTTCTGCAATCTAGGTCGAGTCGCTCTCGTATGAGAGGGTTTCGTAGTTGCCCTAATGGCGAGTGATCGAGAATTTCGACATTCTTGGATATGGGCAATATAGCCAGCACCCTCCTTGTATCCTCACAACCCAAACCCTAAATAAACCCTAAAGTAAACCGTAACCCCTAAACCCTAAGCCCTAAACCCTATATATGGCCCAATTCATGGATATTTAGGGTCTCATAGAGGGTGGATGGAGGGTCTCGGAGGGGTTGATAGCTTCGGTTTAGGATTTTAGGGTTTAGGGTTTTGACTGGACCCCGGACCTTTTCCCTACCACAGCGTCCCATGTCACCCACAGCATCAGCCTGCGCCCGTAGACTTGAGGTTTTCAGGTGTAGACCCTGTAGGACTATACGGGCGACGATGATGACGACCACCGGAACCGGTAACCGTTGCCTTGTGCTGGCTACCCGCAGTAGCTGCTAGCCTTACACTTGCTAATGTCTCCCTACACCTTACCGCTGCAGTAGTGTCTGAGAACAGCAGTCGCAGCAGGTGACGGGATTCCGAAGCGGATTTCTGTCTGGGCCTTCGTTGCGGCGTCTGTGCTGCCGGCGGCCGCCAGCTTCTCGCCGGATGCATTCTTCGGTGCAATCGACTTCGCAGGTGCTGCCCATGACTTATACCGTTCGGTTGCACGAAGATGTCCCGTTAGGGTTTCGGGTTTAGGATACGTTTGAAAAGAGTGTGGTTTTGCCGACCGCGAGCCTGGTGGCAACTTTCATGCAAAGGCTTGTGGTAGGAGTCTGGCGATCGTACCGCGGGGCATCTTCAGAAGCAGGGTTCCTGATGCCCAGGACTGAACACTCAAACCTCATCTGTGGCTGTTTCCGTGTAGCACCCTAAACCCTAAACCCCTAAACCCCTGAACCCCTAAAGCCCTAAACCCTAAACCCTAAACTGCAGCGCACGCACAGACCTGGAGATACAAAGAAAAGGAAGCACTCAAACCTTGAATCTTGAGTCCTGAACCCAAAGCTCCCTTGAGGACTTGGCTATTTGTCCCGCTTGCATATCCTGGTTCCTAGGGTTTGTGTTAGGAGTTTTAGGTTCTAGGATTTCGGGTTTGGCATCGTTCTGAGGAGAGCCGACATTTTTCAGCCTGCGGTCGTCTGCACTCACCATGTAGCTGAGGACTGGGAACCATGAAGTCAAAAACTGGAGCCCCAACCTCATAATCTCAGACCTC